GACTCGTCAGCAGTTATATGAAATTTATTATTTAAGTAGAGTTGCTAGTGATCAGCACGCTGACCATTAGCATGGCGTACTAAGAATGAAACCACCAGAAAGTAACTTTATAAGCATTAACGAAAAAGAGCGTTCTGATCGTTAAGGTGATATTACATGACTCAGGGTTCACTAAGCTTATAGGATATCGATTACTTATAGTTCGCTATTTGTCGAATAAGGGGTGCCAAAACGACAATTGTGGGTCACTGTTGCAAAAATAGTCGAAAAGATGTGCCTGTTTGCATTGTTTTTTTACTATATCAAATGGCCTGTGGATCGGTGACATATGTTTGCCAAACCACGCGCGGTGTAACGGCGACTTTAGATGGTGGCACATATTCTCTCAGAAAAACAAATTATAAGAAAAATAAAAAGTAAACGTACTAAATGTTTACGCTGGGGCTTCAACAAAAAATATGTCATATGAACTGAACTGGAAAACAGTACAAAGGACCTCTTCAAATTTTATTGCATATTATATTATTAAGAAAACAAACCTGCTTTTTAGGTTGTACTTGAGGCGGCATATACCGCCTCAAGAAGAAGGCTTCTTCATATCTCGTATGAATATGATAAATAATTCAATATTATCATATCCCATATACTGCGTCGAGACGGCATTTCTAGAATTTCAATCGATGGTTTAAATTCACGGTTTAAATTACTTTTTTTAAGGTGTTTTGCATTATACTTGACTAAGAGAGTGAAAATCGGTTCAAGTGGAATAATTGATATCTTTTTACAGCAATGCAAATTCTACAACACTAGTGCAACTGAAATTATCTTCATGGACTGTTTGAGTTAGAAACAGACAGAAAAATTTGTTATATTTTTGTCCATTTTTTTGCTGAGAGATGTCAATAAATTGACAACAAATTTGTAGTAAAACAACTAATGTAAATCTAATGCTGTTTCACATTAACGGTATTTAAAATTTTAATATGTACCTTTTATTGGAACGAATTCATTTCTATGAACCATAGATGTTGTGTCGATAGCGTTTTTCCATTAATATTTGTTTGCGTGGTAAAAAATTTAAATAAACGTAAATTGTATATTGTAATGTATGGTAATGATATAATTTTTCCGTTCACATTTGGTGTGGAATTTGTTTGTTTGGAAAAAAATTAAAAAAAACGCAATTATAAAGAATTATTCATCTTATAAAAGTTATAATGCAAGTTCTTTTTTCAATATAAATAAAAGTAAATTCAATGTAAGTGAAAGTACATAGTAATTATTAATAATATTTTGTCATAAGTTAAGCATTTTTTTTTCACTAGTACACTGATTATTCAGCAACAACAAAGTCCTAAAAAGCGTACATGGCCCCTATTGAATAAATAATTAACAATCATTAACAAAAAAAACTAACAAAGATGCACCCAGAAGGAAAAATGTTCTGAGTATAGTTGAGATACAGCAGCCCTGTTGGGATATTCTGTGATCTCAGCCAGATCATTCGACTGTGTTGATCATGATATTTTAATCCGCAAATTATATAATTACGGTATCAGGGGCAGACCTCTGAACTGGGTGACAACTTTTCTGAAGAAGCGAACTCAATATGTCAGCGTAAGCCATTTGAGTAACCATGTTATGCAAACATACAGGTATAGCTCGGAGCTAGCTGAAATAAGCATGGGCGTTCCACAGGGCTCAGTTTTGGGCCCAGTCTGTTATACAGGGTGTCTCATAATTAGCTGACAGGCCGATTCTATGATCAAAACTAAGTAAAAAAAGTTCATATGAACATGGGTCCGGAAATGCTTCCTAAGGGCACAGGGACCCATTGAAGAGGGAGGAATGGAAATCATTTTTTTGCAATATCTCTCAATCGCGTTGTGATAAATGAATGAAATTTGGTATACACAGCTAAATTTTGATGAGCAATTTGATGGACTAATCCATTTATTTCCACAAGGTCCATTGGGGTGGGTACGGGGGGGCCCTTGGTACTTTGCGTGTGTAACTTTTTCATCTTTGACTTTTTAACAAATTGGACAGCAAATTCCGTTTTCCCGAACTGTTTTACGTTAAAAAGGTACTCTTGTTTCAAATCGTTATCTTTAACGGTTTCTGAGAAAATCGCTCTTGAATTAATCCCACTTTGGTCAATTTCATAGTAATTTAAACAAAAAATAATAATAATAATTTAATACGTAATCAGTAATACACATTATTGATGTAGAACAATTATGATATGATGATTTGTTTATGGCTTTTGCGATGGTAATGCTGCGCGGCAGAACGCGAGTACGGCAGAAGGTTTCCAAACAGAAGGCTGACATCAAGGAGGACATTCCTCACTGTATTCCGCAATTTAGCTGCAACCGTCACTTTTCGAAGGGATCATAAGATGGAAACTTAATTTTGATAACAGACAACAAGCTATTTTAAAAACTGTTCAAAAAACCCTCCACCTTCTCTGATACAAAGTCTTGCCCTACGTGTAACACTTCTCGAAGCTATTAAGATGCTAAAACGGTTTTGACGAATTTCATTGGCTGCATCATTGATACGCTGCAGCAATTCCTCACGGGTATCGACTTCGGTGGCGTAAACTTTTTGATTTAGATATCCCCAGAAAAAGAAGTCCAGCGGGGTTAGGTCGGGAGAACGCGGCGGCCAAGCTACCGGTCCGTGCCTCCCTATCCACCGTCCAGCGAAATTTTCGTTTAGGAAATTTAGAACATTGCGACCACTATGTGCCGGGGCTCCATCGTGTTGAAAAAACATGTTACGTCGTAAATTTAGAGGCAGATCATCGAGAATTTGGGGAAGATTTTCTTGAAGTAAGTTTAAATAAAGATTTGAATTGAGACGTTGTGGAATTTCAATAGGTCCAATCAGAGTGTCGTGAATTATTCCCGCCCATAAATTTATGGAAAACCGTTGCTGGAAGTTTGTTCTCCGAACAACATGTGGGTTCTCTTCTTCCCAATAATGAGAATTATGAAAATTTAATTTTCCATTTCGGGTAAAAGTAGCTTCGTCACACCACAAAATTTTGGAAGCTTGCTCGTTGTCCAGCGACAAAATCCAGCGACAAAATTGCATACGTGGCGCAAAATCTTCTGGTATCAAGCCATGTACACGTCGATAGTGATAGGCATGTAGACCTTGTCGCTTTAATATTCTTCCAACCTGAAATGTTAGTAGCACATCTAATCAATTCTGTTAAGGAAATCTTTAAGATATGTAGTACCGTTGGCCGAGGAACATTTATTTGCCTTGAAATGTTCCGTATGCTAGTCGTAGGATCTTGTTCAATAGCGTCAAGGACCTCCGCTTCCCTATTAATCCTGGGACGTCCTTGACCCGGTGCCTTTCGAAAAGTGGCGGTTGCAGCTAAGTTGCGGAATACCGTAGGGAATGTCCTCCTTGATGGCAGCCTTCGGTTTGGAAACCTTCTCCCGTACTCGCGTTCTGCCGCTGCAGCATTACCATCGCAAAAGCCATAAATAAATATCATATCAACTAACTCTTGTCCCGTAAACTCTTCCATTTTTTTCGCTTAGAACTATTAAATTGGCAATCGGGTTGACAATACTTTGACATAAGAATACCTTGATAATTTTGTTTAAATTACTATGAAATTGACCAAAGTGGGATTAATTCAAGAGCGATTTTCTCAGAAACCGTTAAAGATAACGATTTGAAACAAGAGTACCTTTTTAACGTAAAACAGTTCGGGAAAACGGAATTTGCTGTCCAATTTGTTAAAAAGTCAAAGATGAAAAAGTTACACACGCAAAGTACCAAGGGCCCCCCCGTACCCACCCCAATGGACCTTGTGGAAATAAATGGATTAGTCCATCAAATTGCTCATCAAAATTTAGCTGTGTATACCAAATTTCATTCATTTATCACAACGCGATTGAGAGATATTGCAAAAAAATGATTTCCATTCCTCCCTCTTCAATGGGTCCCTGTGCCCTTAGGAAGCATTTCCGGACCCATGTTCATATGAACTTTTTTACTTAGTTTTGATCATAGAATCGGCCTGTTCAGGGTTGGCAGCTAATTATGAGACACCCTGTATATTAACAACATTGTTGAATTGTCCGATAAGGCATATTTTGCTCTGTATGCGGACGATACATCTCTTGTAATTTCTGATAAATGTGAAAATATCCTTAAACGCAAATGTGAAGCCGTTATCTAGGACTTGATTGATTGGTTTAATAATATATGTTTATATTTTAATTCGGATAAAACTCAGATTAGGTTCCACACCTCGCAGAAACCATTTGGTGATCTTGAGCTTCGTGTTAATAGTGATACTAAGTTTCATATTCATGATACTTGCTGGGTTTATATCTGGACTCGCATTTAAACATTTAAAAAGCTAAGTTTTTAGCTAACTGTGACGTCCATAACATAAATACTAGAATAAAGAATGATTTGCGTATCCCTTACTTTAGAGTAAATATTACTTTTAAAGCTCCAAGCCGGATTGGTGCCGAAGTGTTTAACAATCTTCCAGAAAATTTAAAAAATATTGAAAGTGTAAATGCTTTTAAATTCAATCTAAAATTGTATCTTGTTGAAAAGTGCTTATATAGTACCTACCGCAGATTTTTATACTTAATTAAACATTACTTGTAACGTTTATTTAATCTTTTTTAAATTATGTTTTATATATTTTATGTTTTTTATATATTACGTGTGTTTAAATATTTGTTAAAATGTAATTTCTTTTTTAACAACTTGTTTGTAACAGTTATGACGTTTCTTATACATTTTATGTCTCAGAGAATAAATAAACATCCAACACTCTGATGACACTCTCCATAAATTAATAACATCAGTTAATTCATTATTGTTGTAAATATTCGGTTTCTGTACCATTTATTTTGGATATATGATATACTAAATTCTTTGCAAAGACTAACTCCTTTTTTTTTGTACTGATTGTTTTGAGGAGGCAGGTTTGTTGAAATGAAAGAGCAAAATAACCTTTCAGAATTTATTTTAAAATACCCCATATTCATCCAATCGTTGATGCCAATAACACTTTGTTATATTCACCGATACTATCAAGAACATCGTACATAAGATGTGTGCAAAGTTAAAATAATGCTATTACATAACAAATCTCAGATTGTCAAATACACAAAAGAACCAAAACCCGGAGCTGTCTTTGTCTTATTCTTCTTATTAAAGAAACGTGATCTAAACTTGTATTACGTATAAAAATCAGAGTCATATGTTTGAGTCTCTTCACTGTGATCGCAGCATTCCCCGCCGCTGAACAACTCCGTGGAATTCGTCCTTTGGAATTGCCGTGGGTGCCTCCTCTTGTAAGGCTCCCACTCGGCGCGCAACAACTGTCAGTGCGTGACGATGACGTCCGGCGCCGACTTGGTCGTCTGGACGCTGTACGGCCTCCGCATGTCGTCGTATTTGTTCTTGCGACCCCCCTGGGGAACCATCTCGATCTTGGCCTCCGCCTTGAACTTGTTGTCCTTCTGGTAGCCGAAGGTGCTGAAGGGAGCGGGGGGTGAGTTGGTGTGCACGCTGTGGTTGGGACTGCTGTTTCCCGAACTGTAGCCCTGGGTGGTGAAGAGGCTCTCCCTCGTCTGGCAGGCGCTGTCGCACATCTCCGGGGGATTGTCGTTGTCCACCTGCAAGAGTTTGGAGTTTCACTCGGATAGTTCGATGTTAGATGGTTAGTAACTACTCAAATTGCACAGTGGATGAAGGGGGGTTATGCACTTGCTCAAAAATGAAATATACATGCATAATCATTCTGGTGTTGTAGAATATCTTTATAGATTTGAAGGAACTTTTGACTGTTTCGGTATCAAAGTAAGAAAACTTCTCAACATCTTCAAGAGCTGAAGAAAGAGGGATGGATGAATGGATTCTTCTTTACGTATTATATCACATGGGTGTAACAATGCCGTTAAACAAATTTCCAGGTTTGAATTTTCTCAAACCGCCCTCCCCACCAAAAAAAAACAAAGAAAAAATTTTTGCTTTTTTCTACATATAATCATTCCAAAAGAATTTATGATTTTTCAAAATAAAAACTATGTTTGGTCAAGTACAAAAGAACCAATGAAGACATACATTAAACCAGGTACAACATGGTTTACTTATTATACAGCTACCATCTTCCCCCAAAATTGAAACAAAACCTAACTTGTAGCATTGCAATTAGGTAGGTTCGACGTGGTTTCACCTAATAAAAAAATATATTTATTTATGAGAATGTTACTTTACCGATTTGGATAGAGTTTTTCCAATCAAATTTGTTATGCGTCTTGAGTTTTTGAAAGAAGGCAAATTTTATCTAATTTCGATGCCACTGGTTGGTCTTTGTTCAAATTTAAGAGAAAACTGCAGTGCACTAAGTTTAATTTTTAATACTTCTTGAGTAATAAATAATAATTGATCAAAGGCCGTGTTTAACTTTTAATTTTTATCATTATCATCATCATCGTCATTATTATCAGCATCATCATCATCATCACCATTATCATTTTTCTTAATATAGTTTGAATATTAAATACGATGTAAGAAGTAAAATAAAAATTATAACAAGTCGACTGAAAATTATTCTGCGAAAATAGAAAGTTGCAAAAATTCGCTTATAATGCCAGTAACAGAAATGACCATAACGAAAGATAAGGGAGATTTTCAGTTTTTTTCTTAAATCCGAAATATTTTTACACCCCATAGAGCACACGCTTGATTAACTTAATGCAATAATAGTAACTATTATTAAAATATAAAGCAAGTATACGATATTCATGAATGTTAGTATTTACAGAAGAATAGCAAGCAGCAAAATAGTCAAGAAAAACTATACCGGGTGATTCAGTTTGATATTCGCGGCCTCGTATTTCTTTTATTTTAACAGATAGCTATAACAAACCCTATATATTTTTAAATCGCCGCTCAAACTCTATCAAATGACATTATTAGATCGTCTCCATGGTAACATATGTCAAAATTGCTATAGTCAAATGTTTTTGTTCAAATGTCACACTATATATTTTTTTATCAATTCTGGAAGATATATTTTTTCTGCGTTCAGCTATACAATAAAGAAGTCTATAGTTTCATTAGAAATAGCAAAAAAGATTGACTTTCAGTAGTTTTATTCTGAAAAATGATAGCCTGCTGCGGAAACAACTGAATTTTGACGTTTCTAAATAACGGTTTGTCAAAATAATTGACATTTTACCTACCTATTCTATCTATAACTAATTATAACATGAATACTTACAGTAACCAAGAAAACTAGATATGATTTTAATTTACGGAGAGGGCCGAAAGACATTAAAGCTGACAGGTATTTATACCCGCAGAGACAACTTCCGTCAGATAAAATTTTCGGGAAGTTAGCCAGGAATTTGACGGCAGATGGAAGTTTTCAAAAGAAAAGAAGAGTTTTTAAACCCAGAAGAGCAAGAGATGAAGAACATTCGATAAATATGTTAAATGGCCTGCTAGATCTCCGCATCTCACACCTATAGATTTATTTCATTGGACTTACCTAAATGATATTGACGACCTTAAAAACAGAATAAGAGTAGAATGTCGGAGATTAACTGAAGAAACACTAGAATGTGTTTGTAGACAGGGAGTGATAAACAAACTGTGTTTGGAAGAAAATGGAGGTCATTTTGAACATTTGAAATACGTATTGTTTTAAATTGTTATATTATTATCGTATTAAAAATAAAATATGTTATTTTAAAAAACATAGTAACTTGTTTCCGCAGCTGGCTATCATTTTTCAGAATAAAGCTACGAAGCTAAAGCTTCATCTTTTTTCCTGTTTTTCTAGCAAACTTGCTTACATAGCTGAACGCNAATATACCGGGTGATTCAGTTTGATATTCGCGGCCTCGTATCTCTTTTATTTTAACAAATAGCTATAACAAACCCTATATATTTTTAAATCGCCGCTCAAACTCTATCAAATGACATTATTAGATCGTCTCCATGGTAACATATGTCAAAATTGCTATAGTCAAATGTTTTTGTTCAAATGTCACACTATATATTTTTTTATCAATTCTGGAAGATATATTTTTTCTGCGTTCAGCTATACAATAAAGAAGTCTATAGTTTCATTAGAAATAGCAAAAAAGATTGACTTTCAGTAGTTTTATTCTGAAAAATGATAGCCTGCTGCGGAAACAACTGAATTTTGACGTTTCTAAATAACGGTTTGTCAAAATAATTGACATTTTACCTACCTATTCTATCTATAACTAATTATAACATGAATACTTACAGTAACCAAGAAAACTAGATATGATTTTAATTTACGGAGAGGGCCGAAAGACATTAAAGCTGACAGGTATTTATACCCGCAGAGACAACTTCCGTCAGATAAAATTTTCGGGAAGTTAGCCAGGAATTTGACGGCAGATGGAAGTTTTCAAAAGAAAAGAAGAGTTTTTAAACCCAGAAGAGCAAGAGATGAAGAACATTCGATAAATATGTTAAATGACCTGCTAGATCTCCGCATCTCACACCTATAGATTTATTTCATTGGACTTACCTAAATGATATTGACGACCTTAAAAACAGAATAAGAGTAGAATGTCGGAGATTAACTGAAGAAACACTAGAATGTGTTTGTAGACAGGGAGTGATAAACAAACTGTGTTTGGAAGAAAATGGAGGTCATTTTGAACATTTGAAATACGTATTGTTTTAAATTGTTATATTATTATCGTATTAAAAATAAAATATGTTATTTTAAAAAACATAGTAACTTGTTTCCGCAGCTGGCTATCATTTTTCAGAATAAAGCTACGAAGCTAAAGCTTCATCTTTTTTCCTGTTTTTCTAGCAAACTTGCTTACATAGCTGAACGCAGAAAAAAAAATATCTTCCAGAACTGATAAAAAAACATATAGTGTGGCATTTGAACAAAAACAGTTGATTATAGCAATTTTGACATATGTTACCATAGAGACAATCTAATAATGTCATTTGATAGAGTTTGAGTGGCGAATTAAAAATATATAGGGTTTGTTATAGCTATTTGTTAAAATAAAAGAGATACAGGGCCGCGAATACCAAACTGAATCACCCGTTATACAGGGTGGTCCGTAAGTAATGGTCCATAGAGACTTACTAGATTTTTTACTTCAAAATATTACGATTGGGGCCAATATGCCTTAATAAAATGTTGATAACAAAAAAGATACAGGGTGTCAAAGTTGGAAATTAAAAATTGAATTTTCGTAATAATTATAATATTTTTGAGTGTATGAACGCGAAAATTTAGGGGTCGATGTTTTTGTATACGAGAAATCATAATTTGTTATCTATTTCGATGTATCTTCTAGAGGGCGCCACATACGCCGTGTTTATGACGTAAATACGAGCATAATTTTTTTATCCACAACGTTAACGCTTCTTTTTTTTAAAAATCTTAAACCTACATTATTTTCGTGAAAAAATGGTATACTTGTCATTAGCTCTAGAAATTGTCCGTTTTCAAGAAAAACGCATTTCAACAATCTGCTGCATGTTTCATTACAGGAAATTTTATCGTAGTGTGCGCTAATGAAAACATTAATTTTGACAATTAAACATTATCCCTTTGTACACATTAAAATACAAATTATCAAGTTGATAAATTTTATTTACAAAACCAGTTAAAGGAGAAATTTAATTAAACAAAACTATGATTTTATCAAGCGTTTAACAAGTAAAAAACTGAATATGTACCTAAGGAAAAATAGGAAATGTTTCAAAGTAAATTTTCAATATGTCCACCATTCACCTCGATGCACTTGTCCATACGATTTATGAAAGATCGTCTAATATTAAATAATACCATTGGATCAAAAAAAGTTGAGGCATTACTAATTTCTTGCCAAAGTTGGACGCGAGTATTTATAGTGTTTTTATAAACAATTTCCTTCATTGTGCCCCATACACCAAAATCTAAAGGGTTGAAGTCTGGACTACGTGGCGGCCAAGGAAATATACTACCACGGCCAATCCAACGTTCAGGAAAGTGTTGGTTTAGATATGTTCTTACTTGATGAGTAAAATGTGGCGGAGCGCCATCTTGCATGAACCACATATTTTGCCTCAAATTCAGTGGTAACGCATCCAATAGATCAACAAAGCTATTTTCTAAAAAATTTAAATAACTTGTACCATTTAAATTTCCTGGCAACTCATATGGACCTAGAAAATGGTTTCCAATGATCCCACACCAAACATTAATCTTAAATTCATGTTGAAAGTGCCGTTCTCGAGTTACATGAGGATTTTGAACTTCCCAACAATGCTTATTTCTTAAATTGAAAATACCTCGGCGAGTAAATGTCGCTTCATCTGTAAACAATATTCTGTTGACAAATGTATAGTCAGTATTCTGCTTGTTCCGAATATCACTTGCAAATTGATATCTTGAAGGAAGATCGACAGGTAATAAATTTTGAACTGGTGTAAAATGATATGGATGATATTTTTCTTCATGTAATGTCTTTAAAATTGATGTTTTATTAATTCCCGTGGCTGCAGCTAATCGTCTTGAACTAGTTTGTGGATCATCTGCAATGCGAATTAGTATTTCGTCTTCCTGGTCAGGCGTAATCATTTTTGGTCGACCTAAATTATCACGTTTAGGACGAAATGA